TAGGTTTAGGGTTAGGTTTAGGGTTAGGTTAAGGGTTAGGTTTAGGGTTAGGTTTAGGGTTAGGTTTTCGCTTTATTTTTACATTTTTCGATCTTTTTTGTCGCGCTGTGATGACGTCACATACGCGCTTTCGTCGACCGCGATTTTGTCGTCCGCGGTTTTGTGGTAGAACCGTTTATGCGGCCCAGGATTCTATTAGCTTTTTGGGCTGTTGCTGGAAACATCTGGCTCATGTCCACTAGCTCCTTCTCCTAGTTCCTGTTTTTGAGCCAAATCTCGCCCAATCTGCACTCGTACCTTCGATTTTTTCCCCCCTGCCTAAATGTGAAGCTTTGCTTTTCTCCACATGAGAATATGTTTTGTTGGATAGGGCCCATAATTCAAGTCTGTCAAGATCTTTTTGGACCCCGAGCTTGTCTTTCGGGGGGGGGGGGGGTTTGCCTATCCCTGTCATTTTAGCGTCATCTGCCAATTTGATGAGTTCTCCTTCTATTCCCTCCTCTTAAGTCATCAAACGTTTGAGTCCCTCCCTTGCCGTTGTCTTAGGAAGGCCAGCTGCCGGCTAACTGTTTTCCTTTGCAAAATGCGGAAAAATAATAATAATAATACTTCGAACAGGAGGCTTGGAATGTAAAGCAAAAATCACCGGGAACAAACTTCCTGTCCCTGTCTGAGCAATAAAAACCGAATGTAAAAATGTCAGGGTAACGTTTCTTGAATGAAAAGATTTTTTTTTTTAAGTCACCATCCAACCTAACTTGACATTTAAGGAGAATGCTTAATCGTTTTGGGATTAGCTCTTATCACTGGCTGGCAAGCAGGTGTCTCTTCTTAGAGACTCAGTGATTTATTACATCAAGAAAACTTAAGAAAGAAAGGAATAAAAACCCCACGAAAGCTTCCGTTAGATAGGGAAACATCATGCTTTAGCTCAAACCATGCTGGCAAAGTTCTTCTTTGTTTCCCCCCCCTCCCACACACTGTTGATCGAACAAACAGCAAACTGGACACAGCAGTTGTAACAATTACGACACCAAAAATTATAAGAATAGAAGAAACTAAAGGAAAATATATATATATATATATATGTATATATACGTATAAAGGAAAAAAAAGAAAACACTAATCCAGGACCCTTTTTCAGTTGTAACTAAAAACAAAAATGTACAAGGCCTTTGAGTTTAGAATCAGGATTGGTGTTTTTAGATCTTTTTAACCCCAAAATCATATTTCTCCCCCACCTTTCCCCAAAGATTTCTTAAGTGTTTGTGTGCTAAGGTAAAGGTTCCCCTTGCACATATGTGCTAGTCGTTCCTGACTCTAGGGGGCGGTGCTTATCTCCGTTTCAAAGCCAAAGAGCCAGCGCTGTCCGAAGACGTCTCCGTGGTCACGTGGCCGGCATGACTCAACGCCGAAGGCGCACGGAACGCTGTTCCCTTCCCACCAAAGGTGGCCCCTGTTTTTCTACTTGCATTTTTGTACGTGCTTTCGAACTGCTAGGTTGGCAGAAGCTGGGACAAGTCACGGGAGCTCCCTCCGTTATGCAGCGTTAGGGATTCGAACCGCCGAACTGCCAATCTTTCTGAGCGACAAGCTTAGCGGTTTAACCACTGAGCCACCACATCCCTACTGTTCTTGTGCTACCCTAAGCTTAAAAATTGGAAAATTTGATAATAAGGCACTTAAGTTCTTTTTCTATCTGGCTTTTCTTTTGCACGGCAATTAAACTCTTGATTTTTATTTTTTTGGAGAGAGATTGGAAATATTTTAAGGAAGGAAGAGAACGAAAACACTCAATTGAAAAAGGCCCCCATTTCATTGAAAACACAGGTATTCAGGGTGCAAAAAATATATATATATACCAACCATACGGCTCCTTTTTCCTGATTTGTTGGAAATTACTCTGAAACGTAGACAACAATCCCATTTTCTCCCCTCCCACCAGAAATAAAATTAGGAATTTGTCTCTTTCGCCCCCCCCCCACCTCCCCCTTTCCAGGTGATATCTAAAGAAGCGTTAAAGTTGCCGAACAAGAAAACTCAAAACCACGAAGAAACCACTGCAAGCACTAAAAAAAAAAAAAAAAAAAGAGGAAACAAACGAAGGATAAGACGAAAATAAAGAAATAAACATGAGCACAGCAAGAAAGAATTGTGGCAGCACAGAATCAAGAAAAGGCACAAGTGAGCATGACTGGCCAATTATTCAACCGATACGACATCCAAGAAAAAAATAATGTTTCAATCACAGCATCTCCACGAAACTGGACGGCAGACATGCAACCAATTCTTAGCTGAGTTACATGGTGCCATCATATCACACTTCCAACTTCGAGTTGATGGTTGAACTTACGGACTGGGGGCCTCTTTTGCTCCACTTTCCTGTCATTACTTTTTTCCTAGCTCAGCGCGGGACTGTGGTGGATTTGACTGGCTCTTGGTGGTTGGGTTGGAATTTGATTGAATGACAAAAGAAGAAAAGATTTTTTTTTTTATATAAAAATTATAAATTTGTTAAATGGGGGGGGGGGGGGGGGGGGGGGGGGGGGG